GTCACATTTCTGTGGAACGCTCTCCCCACCGAGGCCTGCTTTTGTCATCCATTTGGCACCAGTTTAAGACGTCCCTCTATGCTGAGATGTTTAAAGACATCACAAAATATTTAATGGCCTGATTAAATGGCACCTGTGGCCATTCATTGGTCAACTCCGCATCCATTGCTATTTTAGCTATTACATTGTTTCGAAATTTGTCTTTTAGAAAATGTGTGTTGCCACTTATTATATTACAGTACTGTTTTAGGAAATGTTGAAAACTACTCAGAGAACTTTAGATATTGGGCAGTATAGAGATAAATAAATTCAATACTGTAACAATTTGGTCCACTTGCCATTCATGGGAAACCCAAGCTTTTAGGGACCAGAATCCAAGAGTGATATAATGCAGAAGTTTAAGAATGGAAGACGCACAGTTCCCTCCTCATTCAAAACTCATCTCAGTTCGTGTGGCCTTCGGGCTGTCATCTTGCCTTCAGCTCTCCTGTCTACAGGATGAGGATCGTAATACAGGGAAGATGACTGCAGTGATTTATGTGGAATGCTTTTGAAGAGCACTCCAAAATATGAACTATTGTTATTTTTCCAAGAAGCAAAAGGACTCAGTTCATTAGAAGACATTATGTAGGATATTATTACAGATTATTAATGTAGCTCAGCTTTAATCTACATTTATTTTATTCTCCCTTCTGTTCCTGCACTTTGCTTGATTTATGTAAACCAGAGCTGGCATTCTGTAGCATATAACCTCCCTATCATAATGATTCGAACTGGCTACCCATTCCCCCTGAAGTGCTTGTTGATTGTTGATAATCAAAGTCCTTAATTATCTAGGTCCAGGCTACAAATCACTTTTAATCACAAGGATCAGCCTGGCCCTTGAGATAATCTGTCAAAGTGAGGCTCTTTTCCTCAGCCTTATAGCTTGCTAGTACCAGCTTCATGGCAGATGGGTATGAGGGCATTGTACCCATTGGCATTTGCCTGGCTCCATCTCTGCTCACTTTTCAATGGGCAGCGTAGGGTGTTTCTAGTGCAAGCCTTCAAAAGCCACTGTGCAGCTACTTCATCTTTTCTTCCTTAACAGATTTTTTCCCTCCCTGGAATGAAGCAAGGTGGAAAAAGCAATGGGAGAACACAAGAGGGCTGCAAAGGGAAGACATCATATGAACACCCCCCACCAGTCTGTGAATGAGGCATCATGACTGCACCATGAAAGTCTCATCTGGAAGGTATTCTTAGGCATGGCCTTTTGCATTTTTTGGCTGTACCCCTGTTTTTGTTTTGAACTGTACTGCAATTTTATTTTTTATTGGAATCTGTTGATTTCTAGATCTCATTTTTATGTATTTGCTGCAAATGTCACCCACATTAAGGATTTTTGAATAGGCTTAAATTGTTGCAAACAAATGCTTTGTAAGTCATTACAAAGAACATGTGATGAATAGACTTCTGAGCATGTGCAGCATGCCTTTCTATCACTAATGAGAAGTTTAAGACGAGCCTTGGATATTTCAGATCACTGGGCAGAGCAAGAGTGCCAAACTGCCTTCAGCCCACGGCTGAGTTCTATTCTGAGGAAGATCTCAAAGAGCCAAATAAATTAATGAAAGCAAAATTTAGCTTAAAGGTTTTTACTGCCAATAGCTGAACCTTAAGAGAAGCATCTCAACCTTTTAGACGAAGGGAAAAAAACCGCACAAAACTTGGGAAGCCACCAGACAGTGGTCAGGGAAAAGGGGGTGGGATGTTTTAGAGAACGCCAGAGGACTGGATCCTGGTCATGGCTGAGAGGTGGTGGACCCTGATGTAAAGCTTCTGTGGCTACACCGAAGCCCTCACTGCTCTCTTATACTCCATCACAGACCTTAGCATTAGTTTGTAAATGGAATGGTAAGAAAAAACTGAAGAGGAAAATCAGCTGTTGAGTGTCTAAGGCAAGGCTATGGAGGGTGTGGCCTCCAGATGTTGTTAGACTGCAATTCCCATCATCCCCATTGAACCCTTGGAAGAGTTCATAGGAGAGGCAGGTCAGCAACATCTGAAGGTCCATGTCTCCCCCACCTCTTTAAGGGGGCTTTCCCAGTGGAGGGTTCCTAGAGTCAACAATAAAAGAGACATTATTAATCTCCCGTGGATTCTTTTTCTGGTGAGAAAAGATGGAAGAAACAATGACAAAGCATAGAACAACATATTGGTGATGATGATGATGCCTGGATATGTCCCTGAATCCCCACAGTAAAAGTCTCACATCAGGTAAGATGATTGCACAACCAAAGCTTTTCCTGGGAGCGCACTAAGAAAACCAACCACAGAATGCAGAGCAGAACAAAATCAGGCCAGGACTCACATTTCAGATCCGAGTGCGATCTCTTGCTGTTTGTGAGCAACAGATAGGTTCTCGGAACTCCGAATGAGGCTTCTCAAAAAGAACAGACAGGAGAGGGAGAGTGGACTGTTCCATTCCAAGTGACATGTGGATACTTTCGTCTTTGAGGCTTAAAAATGGAAACCTGACCCACTGAATGTGGCGTACCTCTTCCTGCCTGTTGTATATGACAGGAGTTGGGAGGAAGAACTGTCTCAGATCAGCTGCTGGCCTGCCAAGTCCTGCCTAAGCAATCTCTGACCGGGCTTTTCTTTACCATTTTCCAAATTTTCCATTGCTCTGCTCTTTTTTTCCCTTGGTGTGTGTGTCTGTGCATTTCCACTCCCTTTGTTTTTAGCCTGCTGTTACCCCCCTTTCCTGTGTATTATGTGCAGAATGTAACCTCGACAGCTGTTTCCCAAGGTCATGCATGTAGGCACCATCTCCTACTTCACTCCTTCCACTGGCACAGCGGCTGCACAACTTTTAGAACAAAACCGTGCCATACATGGCACTTCTGCCCTGTTCTTTGAAACCTCCTGGTCTGCCTGTCCATAACATGCCATCCTCTACCCTCTCTGGCGTTCCACTTCAAACACGGTACTTTGTGGAATCACACAGGATTTTATTATGAGAAGAAGACAGTGTAAATGAGAAGGTGGCGAGGGTTAAAAGATAAACTATTGATGGGTTATTCTTAAATTATTTCGGTTAGCCTTACTGATTAAACTGATTGTAATTTCAGCCTACGTATCAGGGGCATGATTTACTTAATAAAATAGATGGGGCAGAAGGGGCAAAGAAATTTGCATTTCAGTTCTGCCATAGAATGGATAGTGGAGTTTATGAAAAGAAAGCAAGGAGGGTAGACTTTCTTAAAATGAAGCCCACCTTAAACCAGTCCCACATTATACAATAAACCCAGTTCTGTTAGCAAACAGCTGTCAGTGTGTCTAACTCTGAACATCAGTTCAATGGAGTTACAGGAGTGAGCAGGTGGAGATCTGCGATGTGGAAGGGTCTACAAAAGAAACCACCCCCACTTTCATTTCTCGCTCTCTTTCTAGCTTCAGGATGCAAATGCAAGGACAATCCTGGTTTGAACTAGGCAGTCCTGGACTTGTTGCAGATTGCCAGCTCAATCAACTGTGGCCAGACACCGCTTCAGTCGATGCATCTTTCTCATCAGCATTTCCTGCCTATAAATAATTGCACTGGTAGAAAGATCCCTACCCTTCACCTTTCATTAGTAGTGGCACATGTTTTCCCAGCTGGATCATTTCTGTGACAGAAGCTATATCTTTCAACAGAGCCTTCCCCTTGAATGCTACTTGCACAACATTACTGCCATAATCTGAACTCTTTTTCTTTTGCTAGGTAAAGCGAATTCTAAGCACAAGCACCTCTGTTAGGCTCCTACTGTTCTCATCTATGAGTTATTCCAAGGCTGCCAGCCTATGCTCACTTACCTGGAAGTATCGCCTATTGATCTCAATGACACTTGCTTCTGAGTAGATATGCACAGAATGGCAGAGATACACCTTTAACATTTTCATTCCTTGTCCTTTGCGACTTTATCTGTTGTCTGGGGTCACTAAAGCAAGAGGCTTCCCTTGATCTCTCCAGATGTTCATCACAGCTGTCCTGAAGGTGCAAGGTGAATTTCAATAGAACAGGCTGTGCCAGGAGACACAGGTGAGAAGATTTAGATAGATTTTATTAAAGCAAATTAAATAATACTTAAAAAAAAAACAACAACAAGTCTGAGCACTTTCTTGGGCTGTGCAAACCAGTGCCCTTTACAGAGCCATGAGTGCAGTAATTGACCACACTGGCTTCTTAGCAGCATAACAGGCATCAAGAAGCGATAGATACAAAATACAAATAGGATCCTGATGGAATACAATTCTTAAAAAGGAGAGGGATAGAGTAGAAAGTAGACCACTTGTGAAATCTTTGCATCCACACATCAGCATGGATATTTCTGCTACAGACAGCAAGGTGAAAACAGGACACACCCCACCCAACCCACCCTCCCCAAAACACCACAACCTGCCCCCCACCCCCCCGCATATATGATCTGCTTGCCACCCCTTCAAATCCTGAAGGAAAACAGTTCAAAGAAGAGCTGGATAGGTTACACTCAACATTTTGTTCAGCTGCACCCTCCCCTTTCCCATCCCCGTTTTTCCCTCTTTCAGACCAAGCAGCAAAGTTGGGAATGTTTCGCAGCGCACATTTATACTGCTATGTACAAGATACACATGCCAACTCGGAAGTCTTCACGACTCCCGCATGTTCTCTCCTTCCCTCTCTCTTCCCCTTCTCACCTCCCCACTGCTAGACCCACATACAAGATGACCTGGAGGTCCTCCTCTACCGCTCTGGAGGCTGACACCCGTGTCACCCACACTTCCCCACCCGTCTCTGCCCAGCAAGGAGTGAACGCGCTGGCCTTCCTATTCCGTACAGTTGGCTTCTTCTGACTGTCAGAGGGGCTTGCTGGCTTTCCCCCACCCCAAGATGTCCAGCCATGGCCGGGAGGCCGGAGCTCCAGCGAAAGGCGGCACAAGCACCCATCGCCGCCGCCACGGCCCCTTCGAGTCCTGCGGCGGGTCGGGCGCTTCGGTCAGTAAGGTCCCACCACCACCGCCTCCACCTCTTTGGACGGCCTGCGGTCCTTCACCAAAAAGTTAATCATGCCTTCGGACTTGATGAGCAGGTTGCAGCCCAGGAAGAAGATGCCGAAGACGACGGTGAGCGAGAGGACGCACATGACGGCGATCTGCACCACCCGCATGATGTACAAGCTCCGCTCGTCCGGGGCGGTCACCACGAAGCCGTCGTCGGTCACCACCGAGCTGGGCGTGAAGGACCGCAGCACCCGCTCCAGCGGGTCACTGCTGTTGCCCAGGAAGAGCGCCGCCACCTCGGTCTGATTCCCCAGCGAGGCGTTCATGGCCCGGGCTGGACGAGCAAGGGGCTGCGGCTGCGGGCGGCGGCGGGGGCCGGGGGCCGAGGAGGAGGGCGAGGAGAGCGGCGCGGCTTCCCCGGCGGGCAGCGAGCCCAGCGAGCCTCATGCGGCAGGGGCGGGAACAGCGCCGGCAGGGAGGACCGGTGCGGAGCAGCAAGCCGCGGCAGGTCCGGCTGGACTTCCCCGGCGGCGCGGGCTCCGGCGCCGGCTCCGGCTTGCCGTCGACCTGCCTCCTCCTGCCCGTCTGTGGGGAGCGCTGGCCGAAGGCAGCCGCGCCGCGGAAGGGCGCCGCGGGACGGGCCGGGACGGGCCGAGCGCGCGCTGCAGGACGGAGGGCGCGAGGAGAGCGAGGCGACCCTCGAGGGCGCTGCGCGGCAGTGCAGAGACGGCGCCGCTTTGCCGAACGGAGCCCGCACGCGCGAGCACGAGGAGGAGGAGCAGCGGCGGCGGCAGCAGCAGCAGCAGGGGCTGCCCGGGTCCTGGGCAGGGCGAGCGCCGCGGGCGCTCCGGCTCCGACAGGCAGCGGCGAGGCGAGGCGAGGCCCCGCCCCGTGGCTCCGAGCGGCTCGAGTTGGCGCCTCGCTCGACGGCCGCCTGTCAAGCGCCGCGCCCCCCCCGCCCCCCCCCACGCGGCGGCGTGGCCTCGAGAAAGGCGGGCGGGCGGACGCGCGGTCCCTGGCGGCGCCGGTGCGAGGCTGCGGGCGAGAGTTGCTTCGCACCCCTAAAGTCCGGGGCGGGCGGGTCGGAGGGGCAGCTCCGCGCTTCTTTCTGCCCCCGCGGCGTTGCTCATCGGCGGCGGCGCCTCTCCTCTTGTTCAGTCCAGCGGCTCTCCGGTCGTGTTCACTCGACACCTGTAAACCGTCCTGACTTCTTTTCTTTTTTCCAGTTCGAAGGAGAACCGAGTAAAATGATAATACAAATAAAGGGATGAGGGCGCCATGCACGCCGCCCCAGCTGGACCTGTTGGCTGCGGAATCCCCGAGTGGCAGGACTCTTTTCTGCCCAAGGTTCAAAGGATTGCACCTTGAATGGCCTCCATGCGGACTTTAACCCCCACTGTTTTGCTCGGTAGTAATGCATTCAAGGTGGCGGAAAGACCCATGCTTGCCCCCAAGTTTTCACCCACGGTGGAAGGAGAGTACTCAAGACAGTTCAACCAGCTTTCCTTACATAAGTTCTTGACTTTTAAGCAGCTCACTTAGTCCAACTGGCTTCTTGCAAAAGTTCTACCAGGTCTTCTCAGTGTCTTTGGTTTCATAGACCACAGCATAGACCAGGGATGGCGAATATGACCGATTCAGATCCCCTATCTCCCATCCACTGGCCACGCTGGGTGTGGCTGAGGGGAGCTTGGGTCCTGCAGCATCTGGAGACCCTCAGCCCTGAGACTCCTGTATTCCACACGACTCAGCCTCTGCTCCTCTACTGGCCAAAGCTATCATAGCACCAAAGCCTCTCATCTCACTCCTACAATTTTGTCTTCAGGTGACTGACTTCTGCACCCCTCTTGCTTTCTTTTCCACTTGGACAGACAATGCCTGCCCATCAATGGCTTCTAAACTTTCTTCCCCTCCTTCAGAGCAGGGTCTTTCCACAAAGGACCTGCAATCGCACAGTAATGCCTCATACATTTTAAATGTGATTTTTAGGCAGCTTTTGGTTAATGCTTTTACAGTCTTGCAATCTTGTGAAACTGGGTTTTACCTTTAGATGTACCCTAAAATATTTTTGATAAATAAATTAGCAATGTGGACAATGTGACATCCTGACTTTTGTTTGTTTGTTATGTATCCGTTGCATAAATGCTTTTGACAACAGCAACAGCTGCTTCAGTATTCAAAACATTATTTCTGAGATCATGGTTGACATGGTCTGGATGCTGAAGCCTAATCTTTATAACACATTTGTAATGCAAGTTATCCAAGGGTTTTAAAGAGTAAAGCAATACCCCCTTAGCCAGTGGGTATGGTAGAACTGCAAGAGCGATACATTTATAATGTTAAAAAGGTAAAAGCACAACCCTGACTACCACATACAAAGCGCAGGGATGCAGATACAGTGATCTTTTCTGGATCAGATCTGACTATGAATTCTTCAGCATCTCTGACAGTGGCAAACATCTTGGAAATGAGGGAGCTGGCATTGCATCAGCACAAATCACAGTGGTGATCAGTGGCTCAACAAAGCGATTTCAGACCTGGCACTTAGTGTGTGTGTGTGTGTGTGTGTGTTGCTGGGGGTGTGATCATGCATCTTCAGTTCTGAAGTGTGTGACATTTTTCTTTCCCCTCCCCTCCAATCAACATCTCATAATTTGGAATTGTTTCTACATTTCTGATATGTTAGACGATCGGCAAAACTATTTGCCGTCCCTGATACACACACGTGCTCACCCGTGCACTCAAGTATATGCAGTTTTTTCATTTACTAGAATCATAACATCGCAATAGCTGCAGTATTAGAATAGAATTCACTGCAGCTGCTTTGCTGCTGCCCTGAATGGTCATTTGAAGTTCCTTCTCCTGGGCTACAGAGTCCTGGGCTTGGGCCACGTGGGCAAGCGTGGCTGTGCTATCGCCTATGGTCAGCGCTGTTCAAATGGGCAGCAACGTCAAAACAGTGGCATGTGCATTCAGAGATTGTCATGCCAAGGACTGCATAGACTGGAAATATGCTCATTGTTTGATTTGTGTAATTTGGGGATTTAATGCAAGTGGCAAGCAGTGAGAGGAAACTCAGCAGGATCTAACTCAGTATAAATGTTTGCTTAAACTCGACTATAAGCTAGCTGCAAAGTCAGGTGCCAGATGGCCTCATGCATTTAAAAGAACACCTGCCTTCCTTTGCTCTACCCATCTGCATCCAGGCAACTCCAGTGAGAGCAGTGGTGCCAAGTTTCCAATCAAGAACATGATAAATGAGGGGGTGGCAATTGGATTAAATATAGCAAGGACTGGAGGAATAATCAATTCTTGGAACCAGTCAACAGACTGGAAAATAGAAACAAAAGGACATTTCAATCAAACGATGTGTCTCTTTCTGGTGCATACCTGCATTATTTGTGTCAAAATGTTCCTATTCAGAACCCAGAGTCACGTACCTAAAACTATATGCATCCCAGTCAGTTAAAAAAATGAAAGCCTTTAAAATAGGTGTCCTCCAGACATGTGGGACTGCAGTGCCCATAGTCCTTTACCATTGCTATGAGGGCTGCAATTTCTGTAAGCTGTAGTCCAAAACAACTGGAGGACACCAAATTGCCTGCCCCTAATTTTAACATGCAGCAGCAATGGTGTCATTTTAAACGTGTCTCAGCCATTAGGAGTTAATTCTGGGATCCTGCAAAATGTAACTAAATGGTCAAAAACCAGTGCTCAACATTACTTGTTATCTACTAATTAGAACACTGGAAAAGCTGTAGCTGGTGTTGAAAGCATTTGCACAGATGAGACAAGCCATTAACGCATGGAGAAGTTGTATAATGGCCATATATAGCAGGACCGAAGGCTTTCTTTGCATACTGGGTGCAATATGTATCCTGAATATTGGGATACCAGAATGAAATCTGTTTCACATGCTCAAGACACAATTTAATGTTTCGGTGCATAAAACTGGCAATTTCGTGGCAGTTGGTGTGTGCGTATTCAGGATGCTCAAGGCACTGCTATGTTTGAATCGTCACGACTCAGTGATAATGTACCACGTATCATGTACAGAAGGTCTCCGAATTTTGTCCTGTCTCCAGGCTGGCTGGTCAAGACTTTCAGAGATACTGAAGCGATGCTGCTGCCAGTCAGGGTAGACAAAACAGAGCCAGATGGAGCAACGATCTCAGTATAAGGAACCTTCTTCTGGAATCTCATTTCAGCCCCAGCAGTCTTAATGAGGTGAGCCTTGGGGGAGGTGTACATGTTGCAACTGAAAGGGTATCATCGTCAGTCCTCCTGGATGGAGTTTGGATTTGCCTAATTGAATTCAGCCTGGCCTTCCCTCAGATTTCGTTTCTGAATGGTTCATCCTCACCAGTGGTCCACCGGAAGGCGAGGACTGCTGCCCTCTGACTACACTCACTTTTGTCTGAGGCTATGAGCGTCTTGGGTGCATTTAAAAGACTGGAGTCTTGTGTCTTTGTGTGGTCTTCAGGCTTGCAAAGAGAGATGCATGCTTGATGGGCATGCCTCTGGTGACTGGGGGGACTGGGTAAGAGAAGGAGCAGGAAGCACCCGAAGCATGTGCCCTTGAGGGACTTGCCCCACAGGAAACGAAATGCAAATACAAACTACACTGGGAGCTACCTGGAAATATGCACTGCACTTTCCCCCATCTTTTAATCACATACCAAAACAAACACTTTTGCATAAAGAAATCTCAGCTGAAGGCAGTCCTGCATCATACTAGAATGCTTCCCATTCCAGCCTCGCATTCTTGTTCAAATCTATAATTCTATTAATTATGTGCATGGCTACGGTCCATAATTACTTTCTGAATAACACGTGTCTGCTTGTTTTGAAGTGAAAATATCAAAAGCATGCGCTCAGTAGTCTCTCTATGCGTTTAAGAAGCAGAGTGCAGAGTGTTCTATGTAGGGATGAACAAATCATCCCATTTCTAATTCATATGCTTCTGCAAGACCTTACTAGTCCATTTCTTCATTAATCTGCATATATGTGCGCATATATATATATATATATATATATATATATATATATATATATATATATAATGAAATTCTGCATATTGAAGGGCACAATTCAATGTCCTCTGCCCTGCTTGTACACAAGCCAGCAGAGGCTTATATGCATTCAGTGTAGCAGTGGTCACCTTCAATGCACCTTGCATTTCGTGACGATGACTGTTTCGGGCTATTTGGATGAAAGCCTGCAGATGAAAGTGGGACATTATTTGAATATGGCACAACCCCAGGCTACTCTCCTCCCCATCCTAGCAAGCCTCCTTTCCTGCTCTCTGGGGCTGACTTTCAACTGG